TTTATTAATTTTATAAATTATTAATTTTATAGATAAGACGTGAAATAAAAATATTTAGTTTTAAAAATTATTTTATAAATTAGTTATTTTATGTTAAACAACATTTTAATATATTTTATGTTTATATTTAATATACTTTATATTCAGATTTAATATTTTAATAATAATATATATTTAGTATAATATATATTTTGTCGCATAATAAATTGTGATATTCGACATCTTATGTTATTATTTTCTTTAAAATTTTTCTCAAATTTATTCACATTTGACAATACCTTACTCCTTTCACCATACCTTGTCATATTGCGATATCTTATTCGAGTTAAATTTCTATATACAATTGCGCCTTATATTTACTTTCTTATTCTTCTTCTTATTATTAACTATTAATAAGCTTAAACAATTTATTTATTTATCATTCAATATTGAAACCTAATTTTGTTATTAATTTCTTAAATTTCAAATTAGTTACGCCTGGTATATAAAACAAGATTTGGAAAGACTGTTAGAGGTACGTAAACATGTAAACATTTTACCGCTTGGTAGTGGTGCAATAGCTGGAAATCCTTTTCCGATTGATCGTCAGTTCTTGGCTATGGATCTTGGATTCAATGATATAACACAAAATAGTATGTATGCTGTTGGGGATCGAGACTTTGTTGGTAAGTTTTATAATCATATCTATTTCAGAAAAAAATTGATAAATAGTGATAAATGAAATAATTATTACTTCATGTTACTATATTATTACACATAATTATGTTATTAAATACATTATTATATTGTTATATTGAGATACACTGATCAACAAAGTTAAATATAATAGGCATAGATCAAATTCTATTTTTATTATGTGTAATTTTAAAAATAAATGTAAAATGTTTGTTTTTCACATGTTGTTTTAATCACGATTGAAGAAAAAAGTGTCATGCTGATTATTTATTCGCATTTATTTACAATTTATGTTTGTATCTCAATCAATATAATAATGCAAGAAACAGAATAAAAAAAACCGATATTATCAATAGTTCCATTTAAATGAGAGAGTTTTTCTCTCATACAGTTCAATCGTTTCTCCAACATTTTCAAAGTCGCAAATTTACATATTTAATATTTAATATATTAAAATATTATTGTATGAATTATTGTTATTGTATGAATTACTCTCATTTTGATTTTATTCTTTGCAAAGCTGAATTCTTATTTTGGTCATCATTATCATCAGTGCATTTGAGCCGTTTTTGTGAGGATTTGATTATCTACAATACCCAAGAGTTTAATTTCGTCAAATTTGCCGATAAATATTCTACTGGTAGCAGTCTGATGCCTCAGAAGCGTAATCCAGATTGTATGGAATTAATACGTGGAAAAACTGGCACCATATTAGGAAAGGTTTGTTTAAATTATTCTTAATTAACTTCAATTGATTTTTATAAAACTAATTTTAATTCAAGGTCAATACAAACATGAATGTACATATGATAAATTAATAATTTTTTAAATCTTTAAAATAATTCTTTTTAATGCATTGCATTTTATAATATTTTACAATATATCTCTCAAGATCATTTTGGATCTTTAGTAAATTATTCCTTTAATTTAGTGTAGATGTGATTTTAAGGATTAAGTCTGTGCATAAGGTCCTGGGATCATTAGCGCTGAAATTCTAGATGCATGATCTTTCTAATTAGTGTATGTTTTAATACTGTCGATTAGTCTGCATTCGAGCCTATGTATAACTTTGTATTTGTTTACTAAATACATTTTTAATTTAATTGAAAATGGAAATTGAAAGGTGTATATCCGACCTTTATTGAACACCCTGTACATTATGCCTTGTATATAATTACAAATATTGTGTATCACATATTGTATATGATGATATATGATTCCATATATTAAGATTATCCTAGAGATAAAAAAATATTTCGATAAAATGTATTCATTCATTTAATATTATAATTTTAGTGTATCGGCTTCATGATAACGTTGAAAGGAATTCCATCAACGTATAATAAGGATCTTCAAGAAGATAAAGAAGTACTGTTTCATACATATGATATGTTATACCAAATATATCATATTATCAAGAAATCATTAAAAACTTTGAAAATAAATAAAGAAACTTGCAAAAATGCTTTAACATCTGACATGCTCGCAACTGACATGGCATATTATCTTGTTAGCAAAGGTGTAAGTATTTTTTTCTTTTCTTCTTACAACTATAATTTTTCTTAAGTAACTTTTGTATAATTAATATTATTAAAATGCATAAAAGAAAAATAATATTGGCAACCACAAATAAAAAAAACTGCAACTTCAATTTACTTTTAAAATATATTACAGTTCACTCAATAGATAATCCATTTTTATTCATAAATTTTAGAAAATTTTCAATTTCATAATTTACATCTTTTTATATTACATGTAATTATACTTTCAAAATTTACATTCGTTATACACTATAAAATATTATGATCACTATAAAATATTATGTGTCTCGTCGGTCAAATTCACGCGCAGCGTGAAACGAAGGCAAGTGAGTCTGATGCAAGATTTGACAAGAGAGCTTTCTTGCTTATCGGTCAGGTATCTTATCCTTTTGATCACTGAATCATGTAATATTTATCGCAATAACCAGGTTTAGAACAAAAACGCTAAACACATCGCGAAAAAAAACGACAATAAATTTGATCTCGGTTTAGTATCTTCTCTTTAAGAATGAATACTCGATATCTTAAACATTTTCAGTTTCGAGAAGTAACACAAAAGTAATGTTCAGTAATACCTCGTGATGTTTATTCCTAAAAAATATGTTTTATAAGGATCCAAGGATCTGTACATCGCAATACATTTTCATGATTTTAATGGTTTTCTTCTCAATATTAGATCAATTCTTAAATACATATTATAAATATTATTTCTAATACGATATTCAATAATATCGTATATATAATAATAAATATCCTTTATTTGGCATGTAAGGAGCTAACTGTTCATTGACAATAACATAAATTTAAAATATAGATTCCTTTCCGAGAAAGTCATCATCTTGTTGGAAAGGTTGTTGCTCTTGCTGAATCAAAAGGAATATCCTTATTAGAATTAACAATACAGGAATTAAAAACAATAAGGTATGATGAAAATGTTTAAAGATACATAAATTTCATTAGATCACAGATATCTAAGAATAAATATTTATTTTAGTGAAGCATTTGAAGATAATGTATCATGCATTTGGGATTTCATCTGCAGCGTGGATCAGTATCAAACTACTGGTGGAACTGGTTTAATGGCGGTACGACAGCAGATTAATAATTTGAAATCTTGGCTACACGATTTTCCTTTTAAAAAATAATTATATTTGAGATAAATCATTTTAATAATAATATTAATGCCTAATATATAAAACTATATATAATTATTATATATATTTTGTATATATATATATTATATATATTTTGTTTTTAATAATTAATGAATAAGGCGCAAATGTATATATGATAAAGTATTGACTTTTTATTTTTTCTTATGAAAAATTTAATTTTATATGCATGCAGTAGATTTCTTTTGTTATATTTATGTAAAATACGTATGTAATATTTATATAAATAAGAATACAAAGTAAAAAATAAATATTTTGCTATATTGGAAATACACATTTCATACATATAAAATTGTTTGATATTAATAAGCATTAAATTTATAGTATATGTAAAAATTAAGATAACAAAATTATCTTTAAATTATCTTAAAACGGGATCGTAAAAATAAATATTGAAATCAAAATGTTTATACAACCAAATCAATCAATTATTTTAAGAAAATTTTAAGAAAATTTTTTACGCTATGCAAAAAGAACACAAACATATAGAAAATAATTTGAAAGAATGATTAAAAAAATGTGGACAATAAAAAAGCATTAACATTAAAATGGTTCCCGCGCAGATAATTATCAATCGATCATCAAATGGGGAGTGAGATAAGATTGAGCGAGAGCATGAAGTCATAATATAACGATATAATTATTTTATTAAAATAATAAATTCTAAACAATGATAGTTCAACGAGTTGCAGCGAGCGTGCGGAGCAATGATAGTTCAACAAATTGCTGCCAGTTAGTGCGGTGAAATAGTTCTTCGGTGGTGAATAGTTGAATAGAATAATACGAACATTTCGTGTACAATGCGAATTATAATATTATCTCGATATGCAGTGTCGCTTATCGTGATTGTGTAACGATGTCTACTTTCTCCGCATCGTTCCATCAACCGCCAACCGTCTAAGTTACAGATCTGTCGGGCGTAAGGCGCGTTGCGCCAATTTTCATCTCTTTAACAATTCTCACGATTAATTGCGAAACGGCCTGCGTGGAATATATCCCACGTCGTGCCGCCGAATTCGACCGAATGCAAGTGTACAAGAAACATTTATGAAAATTTTACCGCATCAAAGTACAATTCGCTCCTGGTATATCAATGTAGATAAAATAACTCTGGAATATGCAAACCTGCATTCCAAAATTTTTAAAAGAAAAATCTGAAACTGCGCGCAAAAAGAAAGAAATAAGCCTTAATTATGGATAATATGACGATTAGAAAAAAAGTGCAATGGAATAAAAATGAATATGTAGGATATATTAATTTTGAAAAACACATGAATGATCTTGACTTACCTGAAGCTTCCAGTGTTGTTGTATTTATGATTGTAGCAGTCAATGATCATTGGAAGATTCCAACTGCGTATTATTTTATAAACTCGTTGAATAGCACGGAACAAACGAATATTATATACTAAACGATACGTTAACATTTCTACATGAAACAAGAATTTTAATTACTTCCATCACTTCCGATGGACCACGAAGCCACTTTGTAATGGCCACACAATTAAGTGCGAAATTAAACATTAACGACAATTTGCAAGTTTATTTCTTGCATATTTCAGAATCACAAACTTATTATATTTTTAAGGGAAAAATAAGAAATAAAACTGTACGTCGCAAGAAAATTATTGCACGTCATCTTTTGCCTGATGTCATAAACCAATATGGCTGCAACGAAAGAGCCACGAATCTTAATAAATTATATATTTCTAATACAATTAAACTTTTAATCATTATTTTTTCATAATACAGAGATATAAGAATTAATAATATTTGTTTATAAATAATATTAATTCAATCATATTAGCTTATATTAATTTAAAATATATAATGTGTTCCATAATTTTTATTTTTTTATTCTATTTTATTTATTTCTAGATTTTAAAAACTAAGTAAGTTCTGAAAATAAAAATAAAAGTTTCATTACATCAGAAATATTTATTCTTAGATCAACATTCAGTTTAATAATTAAAGCATTTAATTTTTACTCAATATTGAATTTAAAATTTAACAATTAAAAAATCACAATGGAGATACTATAAGTACAAATATAATGTAGATATTTTCAAAATGCAAGTTCCATATTATGCTAGTGATGTAAAAATAACCGTACAAAGACGACTAAGATGTTTCTTGGCAAATAAGAATTTATATATCGTAACTTTATATTAAAATCTCCGCTCCTAAGATTTAGAGAAAATATAGAAAGTTTTCTTATGTAGCATGTTTCAAAAGTGGAGGTCAATAACTCGGGAATTGGAAATTCAAGAAAAAAGTTAGTATGAACATAGGCCGGAAAATACGTTGTTCTCGAGTTTTTGTCATTTTTATTTTGAAATTTCAAATTGGTCTTGAATTTTGCTCTCGAATTTTTTTATCAAAATTGAAAAAAGAATGGATCTTTCTGAGCTTAATAACTGAGCTTAATTAAAGTCAAATAAAAGTTGCAGGCTTCAGCACCACTCAGGATGTAGGATCTTGATCTCTGCCAAGAGATGCTGTATCGGCTGTATCTCGACGTGGATACATTCCGGACGGTGCTAAAACAGCCCGCAATGTGTTTATTTAACTTTAATTGTTATAAAACTCATAAGGATCATGTTTTCTTTCGATTTTAATAAAAAAAATTCAAAAGCAAAGCAATTAAAAATTTCAGCATGATAGAAATGAGAATGATTCGAAAACAATGGATTTCTGGATCTATGTTCATACTAACCTTTTTTCTTGTTTTTGGATCCCCAATCACTTCGCGAACGTTTATTTTTAGAGATCACCAATCATTGCGCGAACGATTGATCTCCGCTTTTGAAACATCCATATAATGGATCAAACCAAAGCTATAGTTAAGCATAGAGATATAGAACTTGATCCATCCAATCATTTCTGAGATTCGATAATCTCAGAATTGGTCGGCTTGCATAAAGATTCACAGACTCATCTCGCGCGCATGAAACGCTACGTATATACTTGACGCGAGCTACGTCAAGTCAACGTGTCTCTTGATGTAACAAATATTTACGTTTTGTAACAAATATTTATTCAAGAAATGATCAGATGTCTACGTCAGTCTTCTTTCACTAATGAATGTTTTTCTTCAAAAGCAGTGAGTGCAAAGCATAATTTTTTTAAACATGCAGTATCGTGGATATAGCTACTTGACTTTGGATTTTAAATGTAAAGTTAAAATATATGGATCGACCCTTATACGATTATACCAAGATTAATCCTTATCTAAAATTATTTGTGCATTTAATAAATACATTGTATTCTAATGCGTGATTTGTTTTATAATTTGTTTTGTGTTATAACTGCCCGTAGCAAGTATTGATAAGGAGAGTTATTCATTCTGGTTTGTATTATCGCTTTGTTTAATATCAAATAAATTTTAATCAAATATCTTTGCTCACTTCACATAATAACCGAAAAAAATTATCAAGGAAACATCATTACTGGCAGTGGCGTATTTAGTTTTGTTATTTTGATAAATAATTACATAAGTGGTTCTCAACCTTTTCAATACTTGGAAATCACATCAAATACCTACTATTTATTTCGTTAAATAAATTTTATCCGTACATGTTTGCAAGATTAAGAATTATATAAAATAATTAAGCATCATATAAAATTGGTCTTTTCTTCTTTTCTCTTGAAATATAAGATAAAAATGTTTGGAATACTTTTTAGATAGACTTTTTCCTAATTACTTTATCAGGCTTTATAGCTAGATATCTTATAGAATAACGAAAAAAAATTAAATAATTTGTCAATCAGATTAAAACAATGAAATAAAAATTAATAAATTTTATGTACAAAAAATACCGTTTCATAAAATATCGATAATTTAATTTAATTATGAAAATATATAGATATCCCAAAGAAATATATAATTACATATTGCAAATTGTATAATTTTTAAAGTAACTATGTATATTCTTCACATCAATTGATTTGTCACATTAATCTATATAAAAAAATCATATTATAGTCTATATAAAAGTATTAAGGTACAATTGAAAAAAAAAGTATAATTATATATCATATAACATATATTTATTTAATTAACTTGATTTATTAATAATTTTACCTTAATACCTTCATATCCCGAGTAAGAGAGAAATCATATTACGTAAAAAAAAATCATATAATTCAATTTTAAAAATACTAATGATCTTGACTTAAGGCTCCTGAGTAGCTATCGCGGCTATATTGGAATTATGATGTCATAGGAGAGAAATGACAATAAAATTTGTTGCACTTAATTTACAAATAATAATTGATTAAAACAACACTTGTGATGGCTTTAAGAATGAAAATGAACGATCCTTTTTCTTCTTGACAGTCAATAAATGAAAAGCATGTGAAATGAAGTCTAGGCAGAAAATATATGGTTGATGAGAAATAAAAGAAATGAAAAATATACTTTTACATATAACATTCAAAGGTAACTTTAGCTAACGTCCATTTTTACGAATTTGATAAGTACAAGACAAGTCACATCTACACAATTAAGCACATAATAATAAAATTAAGTGTAACAAAAAATTTCGTTGCTGCACGTCATTTATACAAAGATGAACAAGGACAAGAATAAGAATGAATGACTTTCTATTTTTCATCGCAACGGTACATCGCCGTCAACGCAGAGTTCTTAACTGAGTACTCAGGAACCTCAAAACAACTATTCAATGTCAAATCAATAACATTAAAATACGTCCCTCTTAAAATCTTAAAACTTTTGTTTGAGCATATTTTTGATTTGATTCTATGAATATAAAATGAGTGATAAATAATTATAATAAAATTGAACATTTTATACAAATATGTATATAAATATAAATTCAGTTTCACAGAGATATTTGAAATAATAGAACAGACAAAATATATAGTTAATTCAAATTATATTCTCATATGAAATGTTCAGTATATTCAGAATAAGACACAACTCGCATTTAAAATTTGTATATTCAATTTTCGCGTTGCAAAGGGGATCATAAGCTTTGTTAAGAATAAAACAGTTTCGTAGAAAAAAACAAACATTCCTCTTTATATGTATCATTTAACGATGTATAATTTTTAATAATTTAAAAACATGTACCTTTTAAAATCTAATGAATTTTTTAGACATTTTGACACTATTTTTTATTGCGATGAAGATTAAATAATCGTCGATAGAGCTTCAATCTTAGATAGTAAATTGCATGTCAAAATATAATTTACTAATCTGAAATAATGTTTCGTATAAGAAATCTATATACATAATTTGCAGTAAAAAATAATTAAAATATTTAAATTGTCGTATAATCAAATTACATTGTAATAGATACGCAAGATTTCGAAATATCCTACTATCTTAAAATTGAATAATATCCTAGTACTTATTAAAATTTACTTATACATCTTGTTTCTAACGCCGCTTCTCATTTATTCTAAAATGATCTATGAGATAATACGATTGAGAACCACCGGACCAAAACAGTCTATATTTTATCACCTTTCTCTATGCAAATGTGAAATTATGATTGCAGATCGAAAAGATGATCTCAACGATTAGGCTCCGTAACTTCGTTAAACAGCGGCGTCAACGAATCCATATCTTGCAGGCCGTCAAAACTACCAAGAGGATCCAGATCATCCGTCTCTGCATTGGTTTCTCCGAGAAAACTGGCCTCAAGAAGATCAGCAACATTTCTACAGAGACTATTGGAAGAAGCAGCTGTTGCAGCAACGTCAACGTCGGTGCTACTGGTAGCACCAGTTGCAGTAGCGACAGCAACGTTTGTTGCGTCACTCTGTAAAGTAAGAGGATGAGAATTAAGGATGGGATTGGACAATATCGGCTCGCCTGAATCCTGATACACGTCCTGAGATTGCATTGTGTGCAAAGGCGTTGATGGATATGATCTAGAACCATTACTGTCTTCTGTATATGATGGCATGTACGCAGATACTGGCACTGGCAATGGCGTGTTCGGATATGAACGCGATTGAATTATTTTTTGTAATGCCCCGCCAGCGTCGACGAGTATGTTTGACGGATCCAACATATCCTCTTCTGTTAAATTTAAATTGGTATTTGGCAAAGTATCAAGAACGATCGCATTGTTTAATGTCTCTTCCGTAGTTTGTTCAGATAACATTTGCAAATTTGACTGACGCTCCTCGTCCAAGATCGTAAGAATATTATTGATGTTTTCCGACGTAATCCCCTTGTCTGTCATCAAAAATTCCTGCTCATCTGACATAAAGTTTGCATCGTCTAATAGATACGTGCTCTCTTGTCCGATGGAAGAACCAAAATCATTGTATTCACTCGGTACTGGAGTAGGCGCAACTGAACTGCTCGTCGATGGATTAAAACTTTGACTCTGTACCGATGACAAATATTGTTGCGTAGAGCTCGGAGACATTAATGGTACAATAGGATTCACCATTCTGTGCAACGGCACTGATTGCGATCTATAAAATAATTGCTCGTTGCTTATGTGTTTGCCAGCATGAAGAAGCTCTGTAATTTCCTGGTCTGGTGGAGGTGGTTGACCTTTCTGATACACATTCTTAATTTCTTGTAAATTCTCTTGACTCGGATAATTAATTAACAATTGTTTCTGAGATGTCAAGTCTAGAAATGCAGTGCACGGTGGTCCTTTCAAAACGACCTGTATTAAAGAAACATTTTATAAATATGTTTTATAACAATATGATACATTTTAATTTTCTGATACATTTTAATTTTAATATTCTTTTTTTATAAAGAGAAGAATTCTCTTTCAATTATTTTCAACTTTTATATTAAACTTTGATAATGTAAATGTAGTTTTATTTTTATAAAAATTAAAATAAAATATCGATTATGATTTGAATTAATAGCGCAAATATCCGAGTATTAAATTATAATTAATTTATATTCAAAGTATTCGCAATAAATGATGGTATTAGTTTCAACCTATACTGTTTTTTTAATTGAATTAAGGGGATGCTAAACTCGTCTTACCGACAGAATGTGATAATTTTTATATTGATTTAATTTTGTTGTATTAATTTTATAGATTTGCAAATCCTTTTTTACAATTAAAATTTATTTAAAATTAACACGTGTCTAGCACATGAATTTTGTATCAAGAACGACGTAAAATCTGGTAAACATTAAAAATAATGGAAATTGAATTAGATATCTGTCAAGAGACAATTCGGCAAATACTCGAGCACAATTTGCAATAAAAGTTGAAATAAAAGTTTGCTTCAAATCTTCAAATTTGTTCACAAACCAATGTTTATTTAACTTATAAAATCCGTGACTTCCATTCCACGTTTATGGCCCATATTTTTCTACTGTCTTTCTTTAATATTTAATTAGAAATTTGCGCATATTAATATAACTTATGTTTTTGAGAAAGTATAAGTTATGTTAACTAATGCTTGTGTGCTAATCTAAATTAACATTTTTACCATTTTTGGGGTGACATGGTTTATCCTCGGTCTACAATAGGAAGTCTTAATTTTTGTTGTAATCCCTGGTGAAAAGCATTTTCTGCGCTGTTTTATGCTTCAAATTTTTAATTGAGATTTGGTCAATTCTTAAAGCTTAAGGACATAAAGTAACTCAAAAAATTTTTGCCGAAAATTATTTACAATTAGTTTAGAAAAGCTTAAGACTTATTACATATATTGTATGAGATTTCGGATTAAGATCTAAAGCAGATTCAAACTCGGTTCTCACCCCATATTTACAAGACCGAAAATCTCTTAAATTTTGAAAGTTCAATCAGAACTATTCAAATATATCAAATAAAGGTAGAGACACACTGTACTCAGGTGACATGAGCTCACGTGATATCGCGTAATATTATGTTAGACATAATAACGCATGGTATCATACTTAGGAGAGATATTTATCACTTGCGCAATTACTCTGCATACATAATTTTAAGAAAAGTGTAATAAACTAACAAACAGATAAAATTCAAAGAAAGATTACAGAATAATTAGTACATATATTATCAAATACGGTTTAATGAAATATATTATATATTTTTTCTAATCTGTAAAAATAAAACAAAAAATTCAATTATTTTAAAATATTGTCCATTTTCTTCCCAAGTCTTCCGATGCATCCTTTGATCCATATAATGATGTAATTTTATTTCATGCAACACGGGAATGTTTCCGTACACTTTTGGTCAACAATTCTTCCATTCTTAAATATTATACTTTTACACACAATACGTATATCACATGAGTTGAAAAAGTGTGCGCTAGTACGAAATCATGAATGTGATAGTATATGTTAGCACACGTATGTAGCGTGAGAAAGCGTAACATGATAATAATGTGTTTCCAATAAATTAAAATCTATAATAAAAACATCATCATTGTCAATTCACATTTTCGATTTATCACATGAGATCACGTGATGCTCATGTGAGATCATGTCACGTAAGTATAATATGTCTGTATCTTAACATACGGACTAATATCACATAAAAATCTTAAAAAAAAAAATTAGCATTTTATTCATTTAATATACTTTTAGGTGTAAATAAAATTAAAAAAAATAAATTTTTGCAATTAATTACATTTAATTAATTATGAATTAATGATGCTAGTAAATATTACTGGTAAGTAGTAATCTACAAAGACTTATCTTTTTAAAAAAAGGTAAAAAAAAATGTGAATTTTTTTTTAAGAAGAAAAGAATGTCTACCAGAAATAACAAATTATTATACAGATATCTTACTTTCTGGTATTTTTTACAAGTTTTAAGAAGATGAAAATATCATGCTTTTAAGTACAAAATAAAACTACGGCGCAAGAAACTTTTTGTTTCTCGCTTCTAACGTCATATTTCAATATGGCTGTAGCGAGAGAGCCGAGCCTTAAATTTTGATCTTATTGATACTAAATATTATTGTATTTAATTTTGATTTTTACCTCAGACGATTTAGTCGTTGCCACTGTCAACACATGTCGCGTGTGTTCCGCTCCACTCGACGTTGGTACAATGAAGGTGTCTGTTGTCTTAATGGTATATGGTACGCTACACGAAATGGAGCGAGAAAGCATCTTCTGACTACGTGATCTGGAACTACCGGCTTGTAAGTTGCTGCGCGATCTCGGCACTGGTGTGTTACGCGGAGATACAAATGGGCTTGCGTTTGCCGAGTTCGATTTGGATGCGCGACCGTTAATAGGGGAATGCGGTCCGGGCGAGATCGGGGTGAAATTAAATATTCTGCGTCGCGTATTTGGACTCTGTGGCACAGTATTAGCTACACTTGACGTTGCTGCCTCTTGAACATGCTCAACAACATTCGTTTCGAAACTGACACGACGTCGCGTATTGCTCGGATTAGGATGATTTAGAAGTGTTGGGAGTATGAGATTATGTTTCTGTATAGGATCTCCTTTTTCCACAGCAATGCTCTGTTGAACGACAGTTACAGGTGTCAAATCGGCGGTGATAATGGGTGCTTTCAGGTTTTGTTGCAGTATCAATCGCAATTGTGACACCTTGTCCGACCGAGAGATCTGTTCGGCATCAGAACCGATGATACTAGTTTCTACATCGGAACTAGATGAGCTGCTTTGCTGAAAATACTGTAACAACTCTTCCTCCTGCTCTTGCGAATTGTTCCCGCCGTTTAAATAATCGTCCAAAGCATCCGAATCTATATCACGGACTTTTTCATCTTTGAAGACCGGTGGATCCTGCAAGAAACGGATCTGGTCCCTCGTAAGGAGTCCTGTGGACGTTTCCCTCGTGTTAGTGGAACAACTCTTTGACGAGTTAATATCACAGTTTTTAGCAAGTTGACTGTCCGCAGTTTCGACTGCTTTGCACTTGATAGATTTTGAATTGCTAGCTAGTATCACTGATATTTTACCGGCGCGTTGGATAGACGCTAATTTGGGTAACAAAGCGTTGGAATGCTCTGAATTCTTTTCTGTGAGCTTTGTCTGTTTTTCAGGACTGGGCTCTTGCTGTACTACAATTGGATTATTGGCACGTTTCCTGGAATTTTTACCTTTGACATCGCGCTGTGTTATACTCATTGTTACTCTAGGATTGCTATTACTTTGTCCATCTTCGCGCGATTGTACCACTAGATTATCACAGTAAGATTCTTGGGAGACATTGCAAGTTTGTCGCTGCTGTGGTTGCTGTTGATTATTAGTTTTCAATATTTTTTTTTGCCGATTATAAACTATAGCAGATAAGTTCACTTTTGCCAATGAGTTTTGTACGACCACTGTTGTTGCTGCTGCATTTGTACCTTGAGGTGATTGATTGGATTTGACTTTTTTATATCCTTTGTTGATATTTCCTTTATTGTCAATAATCTTTTCTTTGTTCTGTAAAAATCAATTATAATTCTAAATGCAAAAATATAATTTCAGTTAATTATAGTCAAATTAAAAGATAAAAAATGTTTTATATTTTTAAATATTATTTAAATAAATAAAATGACTAATAAGTGACGGAAAAATTGATAGAACTTATTAATCTTTTCAATCTTATTCCTTTGCTTTTTATTTTTTATAAATTTATTTTAAATTATATTTATTTTGTTATATGAATGTTTATATTTATGTCACATGATAATTATTATATTAAATATCTTTTTGTTTTTCTTTATTGTTTCCATAAATATTAATCTATTTATAGTATTAAATTAACTATTTTCTTGATTTTCAATATATTATTTTATAAATATAAATATAATATAATTAAATATTATAATATTTAATTGTTGGTTTATTTCTATATACTAATTATAATATCAGAAAGAAAATACAAGTTTACATTTTATTTAATTTTCATTGGCTGCAAGCTAATTAGCATAAGATATGAATTAAATTATTCAATAATAAATCAAATCATGATAAACAAATGAAATGTTTAAAATTAAAAAAAGCTACATAAATAAAATATCTAAAGTTGAAAAGAATCATAAAGCATACGTAGTGGAAATAAATAAATATAACATAAACATACAGAAATTACATAAAATGGAATAAAAATAAAAAATGTGTTATTATTGAATATAAAATATGATTATAATACAAAGATAATTATAAAGATAATTATTTCATCTTTGATAGAAAAAAATGAAAGAATAAGTAATGATGGCAGATTATAAAGTTTTAAATGTTTATATTTAGTCTCATCATAACTACATAAAAATTAATTTAAAGCTCCTGACCACCATGACATATTAGAATTGTGTCTAGGCGAGAAATACAATGAAATTTGCAAATAAAGATATTTGACTAAAACGACACTTGAAATGGCTTTAAGACACTTGTGAAAATGGACGGCTACTAGCCTTTTCTCTGATAGTCAATAAATAACCGTAAAAAATACATCAAAGGAATCAAAGAAAAAAAATACATAAATACATTTGACAGCTGTTGAAAGAAGTAAAAAAATGTACTTTTACATATAAAATTCAAAGGTAACTTTAGCTGCCGTTCATTTTTATGAATTTGATAGGTACGAGGCGAATCACATCTGCACAATTAAGTACATAACAATGAAATCAAATGTAATAAAAAATTTCGATGCCAATACATCACTTAATATAAAAAAGAACAAGGATAAGATGAACAAAATGAATAAGCTTCTAATTTTTAATTTTTCGTATTGCTACCGTTAACGCGGAGTTCTTAGCTTTCTTCTAAGTAGTCGGGAACCTTAATATTTATTTGTTTACACACTTCTATTTTTATTTTCACTAAAATTAAAATATTATACTACATACCTGTATAATGGAATCAGGACGATATTTCTGATCTTTTATATGTTCGCGTTGCTGAAGCTTGCGTTGTAACTGTAATTGAGCTTCACGAAGCTTAGCAGGCTTACCACTTACAGGTGTTGTTGATAGATCCGAGACAGTCTCTGAATTAAGAATTATGAATTAATGATTCAATTGCAAGAAGACAAAGTTTTATTTGTAAAATTCAAATGTCATTCACCTTTATTAGGCGAAGCATCACATTGATCTGAAACTGAAAGAATGCATACAGCAGCCAGAGATCGGGTATCGACACGAAAATTATCAACAAGATGTCGCGCTAAGGCACACAAATTTGAAAATTTCAGGCCCAAAACTTTTTCCGCCCATTCTCTTATCAGTGCAGATGCAGCGCCTAGCATTTCCTCAGTGATATTTTCCTCCGAATTTTCTTCCTAAATTTATTAATATTATAGTCACAAGTCATACATTAACATATTTATATATTAAGGCTCAGCCCTCCCGTTGCAGCCATATTGAATTATAACGTCAGAGGCGAGAACATATAAAAAATTTCTTGAGTCATATAGTTTTATTTTATACTTTTTCCTTAAAAACATGATATTTTCATTTTCTTAAAACTTGTAATACCAAAAAGTATTTGTCCAATAAATCATGTAAAAGTGCAAAATAATTCTTGTAATAATGGTCACTGCTCAGCTGTTAGAAACAATTAGATCTAATGATCTGGTGATTTCTGATAGCTAAGTTACTTTTATGTGATTTATTGAACAGATATCTTACTTTCTGACATTTTTTTACAAGTTTTAAAAATATGAGAATATCATGTTTTTAAGAGAAAAGTACAAAATGAAGCTATATAATACAAGAAACTTTTTACATGTCATTTCTCGCCTCTGATGTCATACAATCCATGTCGCGCCGCGAGAGAACCGAGCCTTAAATTTATAAATTTAAAAAATAGCAATAAAAATATACCCAATATAATAATTATAATAGTATAGTAATGTGATAATATTATATAATACTAATATGCTATAAGTGCAATGCTTAATATAAGAAATAATTAAAAAAAAATGAATAAAAGATAAAAGAGAGAGAAAAAGATATATAAAGGAAATCTAAATAATTTTTTTAAAATAATGTAGCAGTTTTATTAACAAAATATATTAAATAGAACTATGGAAACTATGGAACTAATGGAAAATATATTGCATTTACTGGTTTGTTACTTACAGTTTGAGAACCAGATATCTTTGGCAGTGTTGGAGGATCCAATTTAATTCGCTTACGCATACCAGCATAACAGTAGCGAGAATTGCCTCGTGTACCCAACCTACGAGGACGCACTCGCGGATATACCTGTTTCATGACTTTTCCAAAATCAGCCGTTGATAACGGTTTCATAGAATTTCTTACACAATACATGCTAAAAATAAAAATTATATGTAATATCTTCAAAAAATGTTTAGGCAAAAAGTTGTTTGTTAGATTACGTAGATGTATTAGACATAATTAAATCAATATTTGCTTAAATAAAGCCATTCTTCTGTTTGAACTTATTTTAATTTTTAATGCAAATTAGATAAGAAACTATTAGATAAGAAACTATTAGATTAGAAACTATTAGACAATAAATACATAAACAAGACAATAAATACATAAACAAATGAGTAAAATATTGTAAAAAAAATTCCAGTTGAGAAGTACAAATGTATTTTATATATTGAAAAAAATTTACTTGTATTCATCATATACTTCTTGCTTCGGTAAAGATACATCTGGGTCTTCTTCTAAATGTGTCTTAATCCACATGATAGTCTGATGAATTTCATAACGATTTCCTAATGGATTTAGTGGTTGTCTCAATGGATCGACGGTCCCACTTGGATTTGTCAGCAGTAATGGAAGTTTCAGGTACAATAATAACTTTTCCTCTATCTTAAGTTGTTCCACTTGTGAGAAAATCTCGTCTACATGTGCCTTAGATTCTTCACTATGAATTAAAAAGATAATACATATTATTAATTTTTATTAAAGCAAAATAATCTCTCAAATACAAAAGCATAAAGTATAAGATTTAGATGCTGATAAGCTTTAAATTCAGAATATCTAACACAAAATTTTTCATAAATCATATAAGAATATAAATAATTAGATGATATCATTAGAACAATAAAATCTGTAAAAAGATATATCTAATGTTTTTCAAGCATTCTCTAAACATGAAGAAATTTATAAAGAACATAAATGTTTTTATATTTAAAAATCTACACATCCTTTATATCATGCTTTATATTGTATATTATTAAGAAAAAGGAATTTGCAATCTTTTCATTTACTAATAAATTTTTATATAAATAATAAATTTCTCTTCTTACACACACACACGCGCACGCGCGCGCGCATACACACACACACACACACACACACACATTCACAAAAATATTGGATAATTTAATGATAGAATAGTCAAGTAAAATATTTGGATTCCTACTACTATATATAAGACATAATTCCTGCTACTATATATAAGATATAAATTTTGAGAAAGAATTTAAAGAAACATATTAGATGCAGCAAAATGTTCTCAAATCAATTTTGTGAAAATTCTCCTAAGTATTATTGGTAGAATGTCAGCAAAAATATAATAAAATCTGATAGTAAGATATAATAACATATTATCAGCTAAAACCAAAGAATCTGCCATCTTGTAACTATTTAATAATATATTCCAATTAAATAATTACTGGATGATATTATTTTATTTACCATGTTGATTACAATTGTAATCAACATATACTAGATTTAAGGCTCTTGTTCATTTATCACTATTATCTGAAATTATGAAGTTAGAATTGAGAAAAACACAATAAAAATTCTCTATAAGATATATTAAAATAAAAGTATTCTTCAATAAAAAAATACTTATAAATGAAATACTTATAAATGAAGCAACTTGTAAAATATATCAAAAACTCTTTTCATTAATTGATAAATAATCATATATTTGAAAATGAATTTTATATTAACAAAAAATTAAAAAAATTAAAATCACATATGATAAGTCGCTATGATAAATTAATAATATATAGAGTATAACAATAATAGAAGTAAATGCGACTCAATTCCTCCTTGAAACAAAAAAAGTTTTTAATATATCTTATAAGTCTATTCTATTTAATGCAATAATTGTCTATCAATTGTCTTGCAAATATTGTTTTATTGAAAAATATTTCTATTTAAATATATTTTGCAAGAATTTTTATTGTTTATTTTCTCACTTCTGACATCACACAATCTGAGAGTAAGATAAACAGAAGCTTTAATAAATTTCTCTATATATTTCTATGATTTTATAAGATTATCTAGAAAATTGAAAGTTGTGAATAAAAGAATGAGAAAAATAGTAATTAATCATATATTAATCATATAAATCCTTACAAGTCAAGATTCTGTTTTATTTTTGAAGTTTAATATGATATCAATGCCACAAAATTTCATTTAAATCTGCTGACAAACTACTAAGATATTGTTAACATTTTACTAGAGTTACATGACAAAAGTAAGTTAAGAAAAGTTAAGTTAGAAAAATAATAATAAATCCAAGAGAATGAAAGTATAACAATATAATCATAACTATAATATAATTTCAGAAAAAAATGGAAAATAAAAAGAAGCAATTATGCATTTCTTGAAAATTTAAAACCGACTTAACCTAATGCTATCCTCTATCATAATCCGAATCTTGTCTTGCTTAGAAGAGGCGCCGTGGTTGTTCAAGGTCGCAAATTTAGTTGCGATAAGATCTTGCAGCTGATCGCCATCTCCGTGAAAACCATTCGAGGCAAATCTGCCAGCTGATGGCTGTCGTTTCTCAAGAACGGTAGTAGCAGTGGTACTAGTAGCAGTAATAGCATTAGTAGTAATAGTTGCGGTAGTAGTGATGGTAGTGGTGGTGATAGTAGCAGCAGGAGTAGAAACAGCAGCAACAGAAGCGATGACCGTGGCGGCGGTTGAAGGGGTAGAGGTGATGACGGTGGCGGTAACAGCAGCAACGTCGCCATTCTCCACACAAATGTCATTGCGCTCCTTCTTAATCCGTTTACCATCGAATGCGCTTTCCTCTTCGCTCTTCGCGAATGTTCTGCAGGATTTCGTCTGATCATGACTGTCAGTACTCATCGTAGCCTAAACTTTCCCGTCCCTCCCTACCGCCCACCCGCCTCCAGCCGGTCGTAGCTCACGTATGCAGAAACGTATCGCCTCCCGGTGCACGGCTACTGTGAGCTATCATGTTGTCCGTTATTCGGTGATCGGCTAGGCTACTCGTTAGCATCCCGGCATACCATTACTTGGCGGAGTCTTCTGTTCGCGCGTGAGGAACTACCACACGAGTCGCCGAATCGCATATGATATGCGGCGACGAACGGATTCGTCATAACGGCACCGCATTTGCTGATTGTGTCGATGCAGACGCTCAAGTCGTGTGAGCGTCAGTAATTAAATGAAAAATCTGACGAGAACTACAAATCGATACCGGCTACAATGGCCCACAAACGTTCACTCAACTATTCACTGCGGTTCGTTGCTCGGTTTGCGCTAGTTTACGCGTTCTTGTTCCGTTGCCATAGAATATGCATTTCAAGTATAGATTTCTACCGTCATATCATTGAATAAAGAATACCAAGAGAGTATATGTTGCGATCATGGCGTAAGCCTCATGCAGACACCAGCGCTTTGACACAGATGTTGATTGGTGAAAAATAAATAGTGGGGATAAAACGGCGAATGAATCTTTACTATTTATCCCCATTATCCATTTTTCACCAATCAGCGCTCGGTGTCAAAAACGTCGGTGTTGCATGAGGATCCAGGCTAAGGCATAATGTAAAGAAACAAGGTATGTTCTTGCGCATGAAAATGAGAATGGACCAATGAGGATCGTGGACCAAGTAGCCGGCCATATTAATATATCGGTCACTCAGCGTTTTTCTCGCAATATTCAAAATGTAGTATAAATAAGGAAAGACAATTAATAAATTTATTTAATTAAAAACTACCGTGACTAATTGTGACTTTTATTATTAATAATTATTAAATTCTCTATTATCGAATCACACGTAGTCACGTAGTCACAAATTTGTTTATTTTGCTATTATTTTCCAATATATGGAAGGCGATTGTTCCAACGCCATATCTGCGCAGAACGAATCCAAATTAGGCCTACCTGACGAGCATCTCTTGTTTCCTGACACCATGCATTGACCGTAGCCTATAAGTTTTATGGTTTCTTTACACTATGTGTAAATCCCGGTCTACAATAGGTGATTTAAGTTTTAAGCCATAAGAAATGGATGAATCATAGTCAAAGAATAGGAGGAGAATAATCGACTATGATTGGTCAATTTCTTATGCTTGAGATTTAAATCACCTATTGTAGACCGGGACTAATGTGTTATCTTGCGCATGATTGTCAAACAAGTTTGATATTGGTCAAATATCTATAATCTTGGCTCAAGGAAAAACCAAGGCTATTATAAAAAGTAATAATAGTAAACAATTCCAACTATAAAAGAAAAAGAAAACTATGTCGATGGCAAATCTTTAATATAGGATCATCTCCTAAGTTATATTATTATTGCTTATTAAAAGACAAACATTTATTTTGTAAAAAATAATATAATAAAAATTTAATTCAAAATTATATGTGTAAGATTAAATCTAACTATGTACACTATTATATAGATTATGTCTTATTAATGTGTGCTTAAATCCATGAATCAATATCATCTCAATAGTATCTTTTCTATTAATAAATATATGTAATACTCTAAGCAAGGCATTTTTTATCGTGTAATAAAAATTTGTTTTAACAAAGTTTTATTCTCCCAAAAGCTCTTCGATGCCATCATCTTTATCAGAACTATCTTGTCGTTGCACTTTCATTTTATAGCCCAATGCTTCCAAAAGATTTACGTTAAAATAATAACTTAAATTTATTCCTGGCACTAGGCGTTTCAGTTCTTCGATGGTCGCCCAAGCTTTCTCAGTATCTCCTATATTAGCATAATGTTGTGTGATTGTTGCGAACAAATCGCCGAGACGAACCGATCGTTCTAGATTAGGTCCTTGAGAATCCAAGAGATGACGAACTTGTTGCATTGCCGTCTCAGTCTCACCTCTATCAAACAATCTGTTCAATGAGAAAAAAATATTCAAATATGTATAAAATATGCAAATAAATTGCCATTAATGTAAAGAAATTTTCATTATTTCAATGAAATAGACTAAATGTTCAATATAAACTGCAAATCCGTTTAAATGTTCAATATTTATGATAAAATGCAACTTTATAACACATATATTTATTCGGATTTCTTTAATTTAAATAAATTATAAAATATTAACAATTAAAGTCTTAGTTATATAGAAAATCTATCTAAATAATTTCGAATACAAATTCCATAATATTAATACCTAACATTGATACCTAACATTTGAAAAAACTAAGCAAATAATTGAAATAATTTTCGCAATAAATTTCTTGATGAAAAATTTTTTATGAAAATATACATATATATTCAATAACATACTATTTGTTAGTCATATACTGTTTGCTCGATAAGTAGGCTAATTACTTTATCAGTTTAAACGCTCTTTGTATTTTAGAATCTAATATTGATCAGTTTATGATTCAAATCACAAGATAAATATATATAATGCATAAAATTATTACTAAATATAAAATCTTGTCTTATAATAAAAAAAGTATCAATATTTATTTATTCTACATTATATTAATCATTATTTATTTATTAAATAAAAAAATAATATTTATGATTTGAAAGTCCATCTTAGCAAAACTATATAAAGACATGAAATTATTTATTTCAAGTAAATTTTTCTGAAAAGATAAATTGCGAAAAAAAAGCTAAGTATTTTAGATAAAGTGCCTTGAAATCTTTTATTTTTATTTATAAATATATAATTTTAAATTTTTCTTTTACTTTTTTCTTTTTAATTTATTTTTTAACTTCTTATATATTTTCACACTAATATTATTAATATTACTTATCATGAATTAAAAATCAGGATCTTGGATTTACCTTTTAATATCCAGATAGCGTTTAATTGCTGACATTCTATTGTTCACCAGCTCTACCGCTCGTTTGTGAACATCTGGATCTCGCGGGGTTACTACTTTAGATAAACATCTGCTTGCTTGATTCAGTGCATCTAATGCTTTCTCATAATTCTGAAACTCGTCGATTTCTACTTGTGCACACGCCACATAAAAATTAGCCAACAAATCCATGGCTTTACCCTTGGAATAGAAATTTATTATGTTCTTCAGAACCTCTGGTTGATTTTGCCAATCCAGAGACTGTAAATAATTGCCCGCCATAATGTAAATTTCGCGGTTTCTCGAAACCTGTGCGAAAAAGCAAATCTTTTCGGTGTCTCCAGACTTAAGTAATGCCTTCATAGCGCGCAATTTGTTGCCAGCTTGTGTGAATTTCTTGGTCGCAAGATGATAATTTCCTTGATCGAAGGCAATTTCCGCGATTTTTTCGAGTATGGAAATTCTCAAACGTTCGCGTTCTGAGTCACTGTCATTCCCTTTCTCAACAGTCAGTTTCTCCGCCAGCTCTTCACTTAATACAATGTTATGTTGCTGTATCAAATCCAAAGCTGCCATGTAATCTTTGCCGGTTGCAAGCAAATCTACTGCTTTGTCAATTTGGTCGTTCTGCATAAAGTAATCGGCACATTTGCGAATTAACGATGGGTCAGAATCCGCGTTGACATCCATGATAATTAGCTGCAACGCGCTATACTGTCGCGTTTTGAACGCAACATCTAAAGCTTTATGCAAAAGACCAGCTTTATGGTACAGCAATATTGCACGATCTGATTGATCATTATCTTCGTAAAATTTGGCGACGTCTATCTGCGAATGTCGTGGTGCTAATATAGCTAGTGGCCACAATTCTTCTAGCATATCGTGTTCCTATCAACAAATATCATAACCATTATAGACTTATTAATCCTTATTAAAAAATTTAAATGAGATAAATATGGCGTGTAGTTTTTAATAATCGAATGCCTCACCTTACACAGTCGTATCGCATTAGTGTAAGCTTTAGCGATTGTGTAAAAATGAATCGCTTGTATCATGTTATTCTTTGACTCATAGTGCGCAGCAAGATGATATGCCGCTGCTGCATGATTTGTTTTAGTTACTAACTCACATACTTCATCTTCTCTACCGAAATAACAAAGCAGTCTTGTCATTGACAGAGTATCTTTTGCTTGCTCGTAAAGATGCAAAGCGGTCTCCATATCACCAGTCGATTCTGTATACTGAGCATGCCAGTTTTTAATTTCTCTGCAAAAATATTAATCTAATTATAAACACCGCAACTAATTATTTTTTTAAATTAATCTAATTAATGCCATTAAATCGCTTACGGTTCTTCAGAATTATTTAGATATGCAAGTAATTCCCGAGGTCTCATCAAGAGCATTCTGGGAACTTCAAATCGATGACAATCTGCTTTTGTATACATATCGATAGCTTCTGCTATTTTACCTTGTTGCTCCAATGCACGAGCATAATTGTAATAGCTCGTTTTTTCACGAATTTTATTCTCATTAGTGGCTAATTCGATTGCCTCTTTGAATTTATTTCGTGCCTCGTACAACCGTCCCAGCAAATCCAAACGTTTTGCTTCTCGGAAAAGACGTTCTGCATCCATCTGTGATTTTTGAGAATGTATTTCGAGTGTATTTGCAACACTAACTGAAAACATACTTAAATGTGTATTTTATGACTTACATAAAGACCAAGTTCGATAGCTAAAATTCCTACTTGTGCTTCTAAACTCAAAGTATCATCTTGCATTGCTTCGCGTAAAGCCCGTGCAGCATTAGCTTGTTTCATATGGCCCAGGCAAAGAAGAGCCATGTTCAATTGTTTTGTTTTCACACACATTTTAGCCAAGCTCTTCCAAACAGCTTCATTTTTTATAGATTTAATAGCTTTAAAGGCTTCTTCCATATTTGCCACACTAATATGATAACTAAAATCCATCACTGCTTTCCTAGTGACCGAATTACACTCTCCCAGTTCTTCAAAATCTCTCATTAATAACTGCATAATCTTGCTACTTCTATCTAAACTTTTTTCAGAGTTTAGGATAATGATATGAGGCGAATGTACACCTAATAGCCGACAACTCTCGTCAGCAATTGGCTTCACATCTTGTACAATAATACCATGATCTGATGTTGCAAATAACGATACTAACACTACAGAGGCTTGTACAGTCTGCAACAAACAAGTTGTGATTTATTGAATATGTTTATTGTGTGAAATCATTAATGTATTAATTTTTTTAGATTTAAAGTATTATAATTCATGATCAATTTTTTTTAATATAGTAATAAAAAATAAAATTTCTATTAAGAAAAATTTATATATGTTCTTATATATAACAAAGAATTGTTGAATATTGTTTTATAAATATATTAATGTTCAATATTAGATACTTTACATATGCATAAATAATAGAAAGATAGTACAAGAAAAGTTAGATTTAGAAAATTTTTATTATAGAATCAAAGATTTATATAACTAATATCCATATAAATATATAATCCATATAATATTTAATTCAATCATAGATAGCCTAGTAGACAATACCTGGTCATTGCCCTTATTAAAGCTCTTAGAATCACAGTTTTCTAATTTTTGAGCTCGACATACTAGTAGCCTGGAATCTTCTACATCCCAGTAATGGGCTGTGACCAATCTTCCTTTACACTGACTAGTTCTAAAAATAGATATATTTTAAAGTATTATATATGAAAATATATAAATTAAATTATTAAAATACACAACGAACATTATATAATATGAGTATATTAAAAATATATAATTGATGAAATAAAAATACATATAAAAAAATTATATAATTGATTAATGGAAAATATAATTCTGATTTATAATTTGATACAATCACATCAAATTCTCTTAGCTCCTTTACTTACAACATGGAATCCTCATCAACAATATCGTCTGACTCTCCAAAATCAAATTCGTGGATCTGATCGCTTTCAATATCCCAGATATATAAAACTGAACTAGGCATAAGATTTGCCATGGCGACAGTAATCGAAACACAACGGCAATCAAAATTACACCTAGCTTCGATAATCTCGGCAAAATCGCTAATTGCCTCGTATGTTGCCATAGCACGAGTATGTAATTTAGCTTCATGTTTGCTCAAGTCCCAAATCTTCAAAATGCCATTCAATGATGCTACAGTTAAATAATGTCCTACAAAAAGTTACTAGTATTTATAATGCAAGTAATACACACACACACACACACACACACACACACACACACACACACACACACACACACACACACACACACACACACACACTACTACTACACACTTTCTTAAAAGTATATATTTTTTCAATGGGTAATAAGAAAGAATGTATAACGTATTATTTCAATCAAACATTCCTACCTGTCAATTCCATCGTGATTGGTTCGCCTTCTTCGGGTAAAGTGGGAAGCGTCTGAATGACAGAGCCTTCTATAGATCGTAGCTGAATAATTGTTGGAGTCAACACAATCAATGTGTGTTCATAAATTAGCATTTTTTCTGTGTCGCAACTGAAAGTCGCAACCACATTTGTGTTGAAATTGGCTCCTTTATTAATACTATTAACGACAATTTGTCTACCAGAAGAAACGGCAATGTATTCCTTTGTTACAGCGAGAACTTGCACCTGAATTTCTGTCTTCAGTGTATATGTTTGTTTATCCATCTCAAGCAGAATCTGTGTCGGACTGAGTTGACTTGCACAAATACCATCATTGTAAACTGCGCATATTGGTTGCTGATGTAAGATGAATACATTGGTAATACAATTAACAGCCAGAAGGGAATTCCGAGATAAACTGACGCCCCATGTCAACTGTTTCACAGTACCATGAATTGCACAGGATTCTGGGACAGTCGGCCAGGCATTTTCATCACAATCAGACACACATTTTCTTTTCCATAGATAGATTGTACCTAAATTGGTACCAGCAGCCAAAGTATCTGAGAATGATAGAATGTTATTTAATTTGTTTTTAAATTATTTTTATGAAAATAATTGAGATATTGTATAACTAGAAAATATAATTATAATATAAAAAATATATTATAATATACACACACATACACACACACACACATACACATAAAGTAAGAGTACAAAAAAACTTAAGTTATATAAAGAAACTCAAGTTTGCATACTCAATCAATTTGGATACGCTTGACTTAAAAATTTTTGAAATCCCATTCTTTTATAGTAAATCCATACCATTGCCTTTGCAGAACGCCAAACTAGTACATATTTCCTGAGGAGTAGCAACATTTCCATTGGATGAATCTGGAGGCGACAGGACATATGTATCACCAGTATGAAGATCCCAACATCGTACAGCGAGCTCTCCCATAAGTACAGCCAATGTATTTCCACTAATCCAGCACAAAGTGATACCAGTGATACGTGACGTGTCACTTCTGCTACTTAATTTTACCTAAAGCAATAAGTCTCATAACATCATGTCATACTTATGTCATTATTATATAATTGCGTCAATTAGCTCTATCATTTAAATGTCAAAGTCTACATATATGTTGTTATACATATTAATTTTTAAAATTAAGATAAATACATTGTTATATATTCAAACTATACATAATAAATTCAATCGTATTCTATTTAATATTTTATTTATGTATTTCTTCTTAAGGGATCCTGGACTAACGAGCGAACTTCGAAAAAAAACGTTCACACATATGCAGATCTAAACATACATTTATACATACATACATACATACATACATACATTTCTGTACACACGATACTCATATGAATAAATTTTCGTATTGCTTTTTTGCATTATATTACGTATCTATCTTAATTCTGAGAGTTCAACGTTGTTTCTTCACATAATCTTCTAGCAATATCAATTTTGTAGCTACTGTAAAATTTTTATATAAAGCAAATATTGACAGCTTTGGACGCCATTTTAAAGTACCAAATGGATCTAAATTTAAAAAATTTTTCTCGTTTTCGATACGAAATTCATATGCTAGACACGTATTAATGCATATTTAATTATAGAAAAGGATTTTCAGACTTATAAAGTTAATAAAAAATGAAATACAATACAAAAATTACTGCGTTTTGTTTTATACTGTTTTGTCAGTAATAGACAGGTCCAGTATCCCCTTAATGAGAATGTTTTAATCCTTTACCAGTTAATATTAATTTTTATTACATTTCAAAAATATAATCTTTTCTTTTTGAAACATTGATGATAAGAAACATGATAAATAATTAATAAATAATTGATAATAATTGATTATGATATTATTGTAGAATTTGAATTTGTCATATAATATTTTTAATTAAAAAAATAATACATAAATGTAACAATAATAAAACTCAATGACATAAACCTTTGTCAACTCAGTAAGCTCTCCACTGATCGGATCTACTTGAAAATGACCGATATTCAATCCCTCTGTCATAATAATGATAGAATCTCTGGTTTGATGATATAGTAGACAGTGCAATGCTGCACCATCAGTACTAAGAACTTCCTTACATTGTCCTTGAGCATCAATAAAGTATATAATGCCATTAATAGTACCGATGTAAAATGCATGATTGTCTCGCTGTGCCAGAACTGATGTCGGTGCAGCAGTTCTTGGACGCCAAGAACTGAATAGATCTAAAGCTCTTTCATCACCAGCCACTGCCGCTTTTGCCAAACCACTGTAAATTGCGCAGTATCCAAACAGATATTTAATTAAATAATTAAGAAAAAAGATCAAATTTTCATAATTTACTTAATTTTGAGACTTGACACTCATACAATATTAACGTGCTATTATAAAAGTCTATACTATTATAAAAATAATACAAGCTGTTTCATACAATTTAATCTTTTATTTGTTTATTTAAATACCATTATCATACCTAATGTCAACAGCTGGCTTCAGTGGAACTGTCCTAAATGCAATTTGTGAAAAGGATTCTTTTAATTCATGATGAAATATCATGAAGAGCTGTCCTCTTAAATCTATCTTCCAACCAACTATAGATCCTCCAGTATCTGCCGATACTAATCTGCCACCATATTGACTCCACTGTAGAATCGTAATAGAATCTCGATGAGGAGTTACTACCACATTAAACTCCTGAGCTCCAGTGTCTCCTGGCCATATCTAAGAATAATTTAGCATTTTTTTCTTATCTTATGACAAAAGAAAAACATTTTTTTTCTCTTGGAATATTTCGATAATTATACTAACTCGTAATTCTCCAGTCTCCCATCCTGCTGCTAGCCATGTCTTCTCAGGATGCCATCCGAGGGCAGTGACTTGTGCCACTGCATGTCCTGGTGATTCAACATCTTGCACAGGCTCACCTTGATCATCATAGATGGTTACAAAGCCACCTTTGTCTTGAGAATATGCGGCAACAGCTAGCAAGGGATAATTATTATGCCAAGTTGCAAGGGTGCTTATTGAAGCACTTTCAGGATTTTGCACTCGTATGTCAAAATATAAAGTCATTGTTATCTTACATATAACCAATTTAATTATAGTTTAACATCACCATATAAGTATCGAGATATCTATATATAGAGCACATTTCTGAAATATACTTCACATTAATAAATCGAAGTAGTTGATGTGATAATAAATTCTCTTTTATTGATAAAACGCAATCTATTCTCTTAATGTATATTGTTTGACAGTTGTCATGGAAACCAACATATAATGCAGCCATTTTTTCTAGGAACTGAGTTCCGATATTCACCAGTATTGAAAATCTATAATATACGTTATCTGAACTACATATTTTCAGTACTGATAGTGAATATTGGAACGCAATCCAGATCAAGGTTAGCCGGCGACACACGGGTAACACCTATTTGACCACGTCCCGATTGATCACTTGGCTGCTTGTTTTTGATTGATTTCTTGTTGGATTTGCATATGATATAAGTCCCGGTCAATAGGCGATTTAAGCCTTAAAGAAATTGACCAATCATAGTCGATTATTTTTCTATTCTTCGACTATGATTCGTCCATTTCTTATGGCTTACGTAATATGTATGACGTCATTTGCTATTGAAACACTTCGAAGTATCAAATGAACCGGATAAAACAATGTTCCAAACAATTCGAAACATTTGTAGCGCTAAGTGGATCGCACCCCTAATCGAGATTCGTATCAGAGCACAAAATTTGAACATTGAATATATTTTTATTAAAATTTAAACTAAACGGATTAAGCATTTACCGAAACACAATATACATTGGAAATAAAAGAGCAGTTTTTTAATTTCTTTTCTTTTTTAATTTCACGCAAATTTTATACTGATCTAAAATATAAAATAAATTCAAACAGTTCGAACATGTTCGAACTGTTCGCTCGAATTGTTATTTAATATTTAATCTTGAAATTCAAAGTGTTTATTCTATCATCTCTGAACATTTCTGAAATTTAATTTTTATCTATAACACTTACCAATAAATATTCTTATAAATCTTTTTTGTAAAGAAAGGAAGCAATAGAATAACATATTTTTTATTGATAAATAATAATGATAATAGTAATGTAGGATTGCAGTAAAGTAGAATATATTTTATGCATCACATGCATTTCGGCTTGGATTCATTCCTTTATTTATTCCTTAAATGGTATAATTCAACTTCAAGATTAGTTATTTTCTAAAAGCATCACGTATTAATTATTATGAATAATAATTACTTAATGTATATGAAAAATAAATATTTCTGTTTATGTAAATTATTTCAAATTTTACACTTTCTGATTTGTAATTTCTAAAATTGGAAACGAGGAATAATTGAAATGTGCGTACGATATCGCAAATGAAAATACCGTAAGATATTTTTGTCGCTGATTTTCAAGAACAGTTGTTAAAATTATTTTATATTTCTCCTCTAAAGATTCCACTCGATTGTATAGTTCGTTCTGCTTTTCTGAACATAAAGACAAATATAATTCGCTCTTTTGTTCTTGGAATTGCAGTTGCAAAATCTTAATCTCAAGATTCTTATTCTGTAACATGATATAGATATTTGATCTATTTTGAAAAATTAAATGAATTTAAAATAATTAAATATTTTATAGAATTAAGATGTACTTGAATCAAATGAATTATTCTTAATAAAAATTTCTAGAGAAAATGCGTTTATATGTTTCTAGTACTTTGACAATATGTTGTAATTTCTTTTCATAAACGTGCTTTATAGTTTCATTTAACTTTCTCAGCTTTGTGATAGTTTTCTTGAGCATTCGAACTTTCCACATAAGATTTGGAGTTTGTATTGGAACTGTCAGTGGTTTGATGCATTTTCGAAATGCTTCATTGTCTAGCATTTTCTCTTGACATTTCATTAATTCTTGCTTCAATCGCTCATTTTGAATTCGAAGATTATTGAGCGTGGCAGTTAGTACACACATACAATATTTGCAAAGTTGTAAATGGTTTCCTTCTATCATACTATCATGCACCACATACTCATTTGAACTCGAATCAGAATCATGAATTTTTAATTTATTTTGCAAGTGATTTCTATCATTCGATCTTTGATTTAACATTAAACAATTTTGATGATTTCTGTCATAATCAGACAATTCACTTAAAGATGAATTACTGCAAATCTATAAAGATAAGCTAATAAAGATACAAATTACAATAACATAACATATCTGTTATCAACAAAAGTTTAATATATACTATTTTTAATTAAGTAATTAATTAAGTTATTATTTTTTTAAGTAAAGACTATTTTTTTTAAATCTTTACTTAAAAAAATAATAATTTATTTCAATGTATATTATTTTTTTATTCTTTACAAGATCACAAATTTTAAAAATGTTTCAAAAATTTACAATATTATTTTGTATTATCTTCACACGCTTCTTAAAATAATTGTCGAATTTTTACATACTTTAATGAATGTATAAAACATTTTATGCTGTTCTAGGAAAATGCGTAAAAAACAAATATAAATACCGCATGACAAGATGATGACAATGGCGGTAACAGATCATTTGGTGGTTCAATTTTGAATATTCCTTCAAGCGTGCCTGTTTTTAACTGTCGAGAAAGTTCTAATAAATATTCGTTCCTCAAATTACGTTGTGTAATACTCGAATGCAATTTATTAAGCCAGATTCTGCATAAATGTGCTTCTTCTATGGACCTCAAATTCGATATGTACGATCTAACATATGTTAAAATTCGTTTAAAGTGTTCGTCCAATTTTAAAACTTCCTGTTCGTCATGTTCCTTAACTTTTGACATAGTGTTATAATTTAACAACTCGTAGGTTATAAGACTTTGACATGGATCATCATTCGAGATAAAATCATGAACAACTGCAATCAAATACATTTTACGAATATACAAAATATATACGAAAGATAATGTAAATGTTAAATAACTATTATTAATAGCTGATATTTCTAAAGAATTAAGAAAATATATATGCTATATACAATTCGATTTATTTTCCTCTTTTTTTCTAATTACCTTATTCTATATATGTATTACATCTATTCTAATTTTTTCATACAGTAATTTAGACTAAACAATTATGTTTACAGACAAATAATTACTATTCTTTATCACAAAAAATAGAGATATTATGTACATACAAATATAGATACAATATAGAATAGGTCACATTGGAACTAATACAATTAAGTGCTTTTATAATATTTACTACGAGATATGAAAGACAGTTAGGCGGTCATTATGTTATTAATAATGATTCCTAATATAATAAGTATATAAATTGTACATTGCACGCGCGCGCATCAAAATTAAACTTATATTTGCATGCATTTGAAATAAAAAGGGGGAGAGGCTATAGTTCCTTATTATTAAATATCGTCTATAAGGTAATTATAATTACCCTTTCATAGCCAAGATATCACAGAGCATCTTATATATCGACAAAAGTTCTCTTGCCTTTTATATGCAATATTAAAATAATTTATCTGTTTCTTATACAGGGTATACGAAAAATGTCGAAATTTCTTAATATTTCAGAAATTAAGATTTTTGCCCAAAAAATGTTTTATATTAAAATTGTATTTTAATGGCCACATAATTATATTATTGATTCATTCACAGATGGAGTCTACTATTAATATTTTTTAATGATTCAAATTTTAATCAATTTTTTAAACGCAATTATATATTTTTTTAGCAATGATTCTTCTCGGTCATTTTAGAAATGTAAAAGAAAAATATTAAGATACAGTTATAAAAAAATTTATACTTTTCAAGATATTTTATACTTGATTTTGATATATAACATAAAATATAAAATTTTCAATTTCAATTTTGTCATAATGTTATACTTTAATATTTTTATAAATTTTAAATAATGAGACAAATCAATGCTTTGCAAGAAATTATATAATTAACAATATGTAAGTACATATTTTTTTCAAAAACAATTGTATATTTTTTCATAACATAAATCGATTTGTTTCATTATTTTATGCAAGCGAGTATTAAAGTATAGCTATGAAAAGCTTAAAAATTTTTGAGATATTTTATATTTCAATACACCAGAATATAAAATATCTCTATATAATATAAATTATTAACTTTTTTATTTTATCCGAATACTTTTAAATTCAAAATAATTAGAACAATCATATTACATAACAAAAAATATGATTCTATTTAAAAATATGATGATTATAAAAAAATATCGGCATGGTATCTACAAATAAATAAATATCAATCATATAGCACTCTCGAAAACCTATAAATTTTTATATAGAATATTTTTTTCGGAAACGCTTATTTTCTACGATATTAAAAAATTACGATACTTTACGCACCCTGTATAGAAAACTGTGTGTGTGTGTGTGTGTTTAGATTGCGCACACATGCGCGCATGCACGCACGCATGCACACATACATATACACACTTTATTTTCAATTTTCTTTTTAAAAATAAATTAACGTCAAAATAGCAAAATATTTGACATTTTATACATAATGATGTACTATATATAAAAATAATTTTATTTTACATCCAAGAAATTGTTGATTATCCATCAATAACTATGACTGCTTTGTTTCAAAATCATATATGTTATCCAAAATTCGCCGATTTTTCAAGCGAAAAAATTATTACACGCGACTATTTATTTTCAATTGATTTTCCGTGGTTTGTTTCAGCTCTACTAACTTTACTTTCATTGGTTGAATGTTGGTACCTATCCATTCTTCAATCATTGACGAGAAAAAAACTGCTTCCATTTGAACTCGTAAATAACCCTCCAAAGAAGATAATTCTAATAATAACCTGAAATAAGATGTGTAGATATATAAAACTTGCGAAATATAATATATATAGATCTCTGTAAAAGTACTCACTCTGTAAAAGTAGGTACCAAGTTTTCCAGTTGCATGGGATTTGTATAATTATTTGCCACTTGCCATGGATTCATCCAAGTCATAATCCTATTCGTAAACAATAATTTTATGACTATTGATAGTAGATAATTCTTAATATCTATTTTATCTCAGATATTTTAATATAATCTGAGAAATATATTTTATTTATGTATTTAAAAACAATCATTTTAAATTATTTTAAATCTCATTATTTTCAATTTTCAATATTTTTAAATTGAATAATTAAAATTAAAATGTCACAAATTATAAATTTAGTCTTTTTAGACTTACTGATCGCTAGCGATAATATTGTGAAATTTTGTTTTAAAGTTGAGAAACCATTCCATGCCCACAGCTATTTGCCATCCAGGAAAGAGCAAATTGCTAGGAATCGGGATTGGCCTTGGTTGTGGCGTTATGTGCAATGGATGATCAATGTATCCCAAGCTCTTTGCAACTTGTGTATGTGTTTGCTCTGAATAACCATAGAGCCAAACCTTCAGACATAAAGCTAATGATGGTATTGCCGTAGGCAGCAATTCACACATTGTGGCATAATGATCATATCTAAAATTAACCAATATAATTAAGAATCAATATTTACAAGATAGCTTGTAAACATCTTGCTTACCTTGACCAACCGGTGAATGCTGTACCACGAAATTCGTGTACCTTATTCACATGAACTCCCAATTCTTCTAACCATTTTTCATGATTGCTTATGTGATGTCGAATTATAGGTATATGTTGTGCAGAGCCAGTAGCTCCTTTGAATGCAGTAGCTGCCCAAATATTGGGGAAGACTGCACTATACTTATCCCATAATCCTAATGATTTGGTATGATTAACAATCTAGCAAATATTTCTAAAATATATTCTAAAATATAAATTTCTTAATATACAGTATTATAATAAAAGAAAAATAAGAAAAGTACCATCAGGTAGTGCAAAATTGTCTCTAGGGTTGTAATGCCACACCATGGGCTCTACATATTTGCCAATATAATGTTCTATAAAAAGGAAAAAGATTGTATAAGGAGATAGGTCTACGCAACTAGCTGATAAAGAAATTTATTGAAATACCATTCAAAATTTGTAAATCTATTGATCTCAGCATATCATCCCAGATAATAATCTTTAAGTATGGATAGGTTTCCTGAATATATTGGGCTATCGCTAGAATGTGTTCAAGATATAATGATGATTTGCCATATTTACTGGCTGCAGCTCGCTTAGTGCAGACTGAACAAAGACCCAAGTGCCATACTTCATCAGAACCTATATGCAAATACTGTATGTCAGGATGGAAGCTAACAATCTGACGTATTAGCGACTTCACCACTGGAAGAGTTCTTGGATTTGATGGACAGATGGAACTTGGAAAAGATTCCACCTCACGCAATAATCTCCATTCATCGTGTTTCAAAATAAACTGAAATTAAAAACCATAATTTTATAAAATAATATAATTAAAGTTTAAAAATAATCGGCATTACAAATAGTGATTTCAAAAATAAAGAAAATATAAAACTATATAGCAGGCATATGTTCTATGTAAAATAATCTGATATAAAAGTTAATAAAATAATTTTTTCATACCTCCATATGACCAAAAGTTTGTACCAATGGAACAACTGCCAAACCACAATCACCTGCTATTTGCAAAATATGTCTAGCCTCCTGTATAGTATATCCACTCGCTAAACTGCTTGGACCGTTGCTTCCTATTGGACTGAGTTCTCGATTGTAAGGAAATGTATCTTCCCATTCTAGCAATAGTCCAGTAGCTCCCCATGTTCGCAATAATGGAAAGAGCTATAAATTTTTTATTCTTATTCTTAGATCACAAGAATAAAATAAATTGAAATATAAAACAAAAATTTGTCTGTCAACTGTGTATTTATAGACATCTTGACAATTACAACAAAGATTAAATTGCAAAATAAAATAATCTAATATTCAATAAACAAATTGTCCATGCCCTAGCAATAGACCCAATAATAAATTTAATTAGAAATCCCTAACAAATTAATATTTGCTGCAGCAAGCTTGTATTCTACTGACAGAGCCTATTGCTATAATTTAATAAAAAAATGAAGACAAAAATCAAACAGAATCTATCAAATATAGAGTCTGCTCTATTACTAATCCATGTCAAATTGCATACAAGTATACAAATCTATTTAACTTTTGTCATTATAGCTTGTTAATGAATTTTGCTTATATTTTTATAAAAACCATTGCCAGCATTCTGGCAACAGTGTTCTATATGTCAGATCTATAGTCTTTTTATTAACAAAGTTTGTATTCACGTGTATTCACTTTACAAAAATTGTCATCGATGCAGTTGATGTCAGATTGTCTGTTGAATCAAATTCTAACCGAGAAACCTGCTTGTGTTCTAATAAATTTTGTTTTCAAAGAATTTCCGACAAAATTAGTAATTTGCACAAAAGTTTTTACAAAAATGGCTATTCAAACAACTTATCTAAGTAATAACTCCGACATAATGGCATTTATTTGCATGTTTTTTTTCTGTATCGTCAAGTGTAAACAAATGTATTGCGTACATGAATATGTTCAAAACGCAATTCATAATAAGCAAAAAATCAATTATCGAATAATCTTTTCACAATTAAATGAGATTTCCACGTCTTTCTTTTCTTTCCCCTGACAAAAAAAGAAGCCGCTCAAATTTTAATTAGAAAAACAAGTGTCCCATAGCGCGTTATGAAAAACGAGGCTATGAAGCGTTTAAGTGCGATATATACCTTTTCAAAATAACAGGTCCGCGGCGGTGCGCCTTTCAAGTCAAGATGGACCAATCTGGAAAAGAAAAGTTGATTCACAGTGTCGCGACATTTCGTTTATTGAGAAATATGTATCGAAAAATCGTATGTATCTGTCAATCGGCTACCTTACCTGTGCGAGCCTAACGTCAACGCGTCCATTTTTTCTCCGTTCCATTCATCATTGGTTGAAAGGAGACCGATAACTTTTGGCGCGAATTAAAGCTCTATATACATATATCAATACTTCGGGTGCACTCCCATGGAGCGTATTGCGCGTTCGCGGATCGTGCGTATCTGATCAATTGCGGACGTTCCGCTACTTTTGATACGCTGCCGTTCCGAATCCATTAAGGCCTATCCAGACAAACTTGCATAGGCCTGTTCTACAATGCGTCGTGTGTCGGTGTCGTGGGTCGTGGGCCGTAAGAATAGGCCAATCACAATCAAGTATTCTCTTCACATTCGTCTGTGACTGGTCAATTCTTGTGGCTTGCGCTTGCGACACCGATACACGACGCATTGTAGAACAGACCATAGTAGCATAACCATATGCATAAAGAAAATTATTCAATCGCATTTTACATGTGTCTTTAAGATAGAAATGCGATTGGATAATTTTCCTTATGCATATGGTTATGCTGCTATGTAAGTTTATCTGTATAGATCCTACTGTGCAAGAGGCTGGGCTGCGCTTTTCCATAGAATGCATTCGCGGATTTTTATAAATTAATAATTTTTTAATTATTGCGAAACTTACAAAATGATTTTTCGATTCAGTATAGTTCGCTCTACCACGAAAGATGATACGAATATTACCGAACGTTCTATATATTGCTTTGTTAAAGAATGCAAAGCAACAAGATACAAGCGCAAATATAATAAAAATCATAACAATAAAACATTTTAGGAGTAAGGAATTATAAATTCTATTCTAGTCTAAAATACTTTATACTTTTATCTATTTTTTATTGTGTATGTAATTGTGATTTTATTAATATATTTTGCATTTTTTTAATTATTTTTTCAGTATTTTTAATAATTATTTTTACAATTCATGATGTTTTGATATTTGAAATATAATTTATGTTAAAATATATTCAGTAATGTTTCAGTTATTTTCATTTTTTGCCTCAAGGATTTCAGCGATTTATTTCCATCGGAGTTTCCTAACATAATAAAAGTAAGACTTCTAATAACATTCTTTTTTGTAATCCATTCCTGATAAGAACAAAAATGTTTGAAGTAAAGAAAGATTTCAATTTAATTGCTTCATTTAATTAAAGTATTTTTATAATTATATTACAATTTTATTTTTTTAATTAATAATATATTTAAATTGCTAATGTAAATTAAACGCAAGCTAATGTTTAAATGTATTGTCACTATTTAATTTTCTTCAAATGAATATCAATTTCTAGATGGCGCAATAAATGCTTATAATCTGGAATTACAGTGTCCCATAAATTCAATATCATAAAATATTATTAAGGCATATAATTGTTCGTGACATTATTATCTTTGAACTTTTGACTGAATCACTTGTCTAACTTTATATTAAGAATAATAGTGGATGTTTATCAGGTTACATAAATAAAAGTCTTTGTCTCCAATATTATTTTACAATGCTGAATTTATGACACTCCCTACACGAGCATATGGTGGGCATGAGTTTGCTGATTGGTTGTGAGACAATCTTCAAGGTTAAGATGTGTTTTCAAGGTTCTAGGAAATAAAAACGTTAACAAAGAATCTGTAAGCGATATTTTCGTCTTTAGACTTTGGACGCCGGCAACATTATAAACCAATAAAATCCGGCTACGCATCATAATAATCGTGATATTGCGTCGAACTATTCGTTTTTGTGAAACACATTACTTTTCATGTATAAAAATTACGTTAGCGAATAATAAAGTAAATAATTTTTCAGTCAACAAATTCCGAGGGTTACTGTTTTACTGTTTTTGGTCACAATGTTGCGTGAGTATATAATATATATATATATATATATATTTATATATGAGCACCAGATTAATTAATATTAGTCACGAAAATCTTTGAAAAGAATAATTTATTTTTATATACAATGTAAGAAATAAAACTATTTAGAAATTGTGCATAAAATGTATAAAAATATGCATAAAATTGAATAGTATGCGATTTGAATAGTATGCGTCTAGAATCAAGTCTGCAAAGATAAATTTTGAACAGAATATACACACATAACACGCATAACATGCATGCATGTGCGCATTATTTAATTTTTCAAATTGCTTTTTGTTATTTTTCCTCTAATATTAAACAAATATATACATATAAGATTATATATGAAGAGAAAATATTATCATCCATTTTATTAAAATAAAAATTCTTGAAAAAATAGTGATACAGAAAAAATTATTTTATGTTTTT